GTGGCCTTGAGTGTGTGTGCGCTCTTTCACATGTTGAGTGAGATCAAAAGTGTCAAGTAGTGCAAAAAGTTATTTGGCATTATTGTCTGTACAATTATCTATGTGGATGTTAAAATCCCCTGTAATAATAAACAAGTTATAATCAACTGATATAACAGAGACTAGTTCAGCAAAATCATCAATAAAATGTGCAGAATATCGTGAAGGTCTGTAAATGGTTAAAAACAAAATTTTGGGGGTACAGAGGTATTCAAAATAAATAAAATTACCTAGTGGATTTTCTTAGCACTGGAATGTATCTTTGAATAGGGCAGCCACTCCTCCTCCTTTCCTACCATTTCGACACGTATTCATATAGCCACATGTTTCAGGTGCTGTCTCGTTAAGAATGGCAGCACTACAGTCTTCTGTTAGCCATGTGTCAGTGAGAAACATAAAATCTAGGTTGTAGGATATTATAATGTCATTTACCAAGAATGATTTGTTGGCGAGAGATCTGATATTAAGTAAAGCCAGCTTAATAGATATAATAGGGGTTCCTGGACTAGTAGGTTGACGTGTCACAGTTAACAGATTATACAAGTTTACTTTATAGGGTGCATGATCACGATTCCTTCTATTTCTAAACAAGGTACATTGGACAAGGCCTTGCTTTTGCATATTAAACAATAACATGTTACAAAGAACCTTGCATATCTCCAGGTATACATTTAGAATCTATTGAAACAATACACAGGTATTCATGTTTCATATAGAATATAAATTAATCCATCAAAAATGAGGGCTGAAATAAAAATGAGGAATAAATCAGTCTGAGGTGAAATTCTGAAACCAACATTTATTTTTTTCATTTTAAAATACAAAATATTTAGCAATATTATATTATAGAGTAAACCATTTGACAGCCTTTCATGCTCTTCGTGTAGCTTCAACATTTACCAGAATGTCCTACTATATCATATCATATATTATTTCCTATAGTCACCAGTCACCAGGGTTTCCACACTGCATCCTGCTATTCAGTCAGTCTATTCGTGAGTCTCAGTGGATGAGCATGTCATTTGTAAAATTTAGATTTTTTGATTTTTTTTCTCCTCTTCTCCTCCTCCTCTCCTCCTCCTCTCCTCCTCCTTACCCCATTAACATTTGAGCTAGCAAAAGTAGTAACCTGACAATTTTGAAAAACAGTTGCACAGCAAATGAAAGAGTGAAAACAGTTAAAGGTCTCTCTCGCACCCATCATGCAATGCACCCAACACACCTTGCTTCAAATCCCCATGATGCTAGTTGATCAGGTCAAGCTCTCGTCTGGCGTCTCTATCATAACTCTCGACCCAAAACATCTACAGTCAGGCCAAGCTCTTGTCTGGCGTCTCTATCATAACTCTCGACCCAAAACATCTACAGTCAGGTCAAGCTCTCGTCTGGCGTCTCTATCATAACTCTCGACCCAAAACATCTACAATCAGGCCAAGCTCTCATCTGGCGTCTCTATCATAACTCTCGACCCAAAACATCTACAATCAGGCCAAGCTCTCATCTGGCGTCTCTATCATAACTCTCGACCCAAAACATCTACAGTCAGGCCAAGCTCTCATCTGGCGTCTCTATACCCATCAACTCAAAACATCTACAGTCAGGCCAAGCTCTATTTACATATTACAACAAAATATCTACACACAGACACAATTGGAAACTAAAAACTTGATGCAAGTTATGAAAAACTAGATCATGGAAATCTGGAACGTTCTCTTGAAAAGCTCCCTCCGTCTTCCAGATAACATATGGAACAGTTTATCTGTCAAGATGGGGTAGACCACTTCGCACAACAGCTCAACAGGCTGTCATCATCGCAGAAGGGGAGAAATAGAATACATCACACACACACACACACACACACACACACACACACACACACACACACACACACACACACACACACACACACACACACACACACACACACACACACACACACACACACACACACACACACACACACACACACACACACACACTCACACTTCATTCCTATAGATTATCCAAGCCCACTGACTACTGGGTGTAGGCTATACACTGAACTTCAAGTTTGCTCTCTGAGTTAGAGCAAAACGTGACAACATACACATATAAACGTTTAGATGCAAAAACCATTGACATTTTCCAATGAAACAAGCAACATTTCATTCCTTATGATGAATAGGTAAAACAAACTTGTTTCCACATTCAAAATCTTCCATACCTTTCAACCCCCTACATTTCATATCATCTGTTTTAAGTTCTAGCAGTAGTTCATCCTTAATGGCAGTTAACCAGAGAGTTAAACAATAGGCTGCATCTGAAATGACACCCTATTCCCCATAGCACACTACTTTTGACCTGGGAATGGAACCCTATTCCCATTTCCAGTACACTACTTTTGACAAGGGCACCCTATTTGGTGCACTACTTTTGACAAAAGCCCTATCCGCCCTGGTCCAAAGTAGTGCACTACATAGCGGAACAGGGTGCCATTTCAGATGCACCGTAGGTTGGCAGTAGTTTAGTTTAGTGCTGCTGGTCTGGTCCGTAATCTCTCCTCTAGGTGTGACGCTGAGAGGAGATGTTGAGAGATGAGACTATGGATGATGATAGTCTAGTCTCCTGTGGTGTTGGTTAGTGATGCATTTCTTTAGGTTAGTAAATCATCTCTTTAGGCTGAACCTATACATGGACCCATAACAACTGTACTGGATTGGAACCATAGAAACAGAATGATGGAATGAATGTCATTCTATTTCTGTGTATTAGAACCAGGTTCTGCTCTGTGTATTGAAACCAGGTTCTGCTCTGTGTATTGGAACCAGGTTCTGCTCTGTGTATTGGAACCAGGTTCTGCTCTGTGTATTAGAACCATGTTATGATCTGTGTATTAGAACCAGGTTCTGCTCTGTGTATTGAAACCAGGTTCTGCTCTGTGTATTGAAACCAGGTTATGCTCTGTGTATTGGAACCAGGTTATGCTCTGTGTATTGGAACCAGGTTCTGCTCTGTGTATTAGAACCAGGTTCTGCTCTGTGTATTGGAACCAGGTTCTGCTCTGTGCATTAGAACCAGGTTCTGCTCTGTGTATTGGAACCAGGTTATGCTCTGTGTATTGGAACCAGGTTCTGCTCTGTGTATTAGAACCAGGTTCTGCTCTGTGTTTTGGAACCAGGTTCTGCTCTGTGTATTGGAACCAGGTTCTGCTCTGTGTATTGGAACAAGGTTCTGCTCTGTGTACTGGAACCACAGTTCTGCTATGTGGATGAGAGGATGTGTGTGGGTATGAATCTAGAACTCAGGCTGTTCTTTACAAAGGCACTATTAATCGTGCTGAAGGGTTCTCTGGTTCTGCACCGCCTGTATCAGGATCCAGACCTGGCTCAGAATAGTTTGATTTCGCAAGAAAACCAATACTTTACTATTTTGACATAGGTCTGCTCTGAGAACTGCAACAGGAACATAGCACTGCTTGACTGTTCTCTCTCTCTCTCTCTCTCTCTCTCTCTCTCTCTCTCTCTCTCTCTCTCTCTCTCTCTCTCTCTCTCTCTCTCTCTCTCTCTCTCTCTCTCTCTCTCTCTCTCTCTCTCTCTCTCTCTCTCTCTCTCCATGTTCAGCACACAAGGCAGGAGAGTGGAAATGCAATGCTGTTGAACTATGCTGGGTGGTGGCCATGTTATAGAATAGGGCAACATGTTGATCAATGTTTGTTCCATGATCAGAGAGGCTGTATGCAGTCTCAGCTGAGTGTGTGGTGAAGCTATATGAACGATGGGTCTGTTCCAATCTCCATGATGGATAGTAGTGCCACTGCAACAAGACCATGTGTCTGGTGGAAAGGAAGACAACTAAACAACAACAACTAAACAACAACAAGAATTGAAAAACAAAAGGAAGACAAACTGCAACGTCTGTGTGAGTGTGGGATCGTCGGAGAGCGGCTAGGACTGTCAGAGTTATTCTGAATTGATTATCAAGAGTTACAAACTATAAATGTGTTATACCTGACCATCCAGTCCATATATCTGCTATTACAGTATACATACAAACACCTCCTGTCTTGCAAAAAAGACATATCACAATAGCATTTACACCGAGTCACACTTTTCACAGCAATGTCCACAAAGACATTGATGATGCCATTGTTTTCCCGTATCATAATACCACTAGAACTCTTTTGAAGATAGAAAGGTAAGGTGATAAAAGGCATAAGCAGTAGTTTAAGGTGAGCACCGCGTCATCGCCGACAGTCAGTCAACGTGAATCTCTGCTTCCACGCCAGACACTAGTAATGATTCCATGTGTGATGGTTTAGAATATCATTAATTCCATGCAGTATATTAATCAGAAGCAGATGAATGTATATAATGGCATGTTGAGAAAATATATATTCTAACGTGTATAATTGTTTTCAAAAAGACAATGATCTATATATGTCATCATATATACGTTTGCAAAAGATAAAACGGCACTAACACACACATGCCCTCTCCAGCTCTTTGTGGACCAGTCTGGGTGATGAGAACCAACCCAGTCTGCTCCTGGAATACATTCCTCCGCTTCCTGCTTGTCCTCCATCTCTCCATCTATCTCTCTCTCTGTTTCTGGGCTCCTACATCCCTCCTTCTACTTTTTCAAATGGTTCTAAGGTTCTTCTTCTTCTTTTCATGTCTCTTCTGTTTGGTTGTTTGTTGGTCTCAACATGTGATAGTGAGGGTGGTGAGAGTAGTCACAGTGTGATGGGGGGTGGGGAGTTGGCAGGACGGGCAGGCTGTGGAGAGATGACAGGGTGTGACAGAAGTAGCCATGGTGACGGGTGGCCACGGTGACAGGTCTCCACGGTGATGAGTCTCCATGGTGACACGTCCTTATGGTGACTGGTCTCCATGGTGACAGGTCAGGTCACCATTGCGATGGTTTCCATGGCAGCCGGTCGTCATGGCATCGCCGTCAGCTATCGGTCACTATCTATCTAACTAGACAAAGGAGTTCATAGCGTTGACCGGCGAGGGGGCCTCGGAGCTCTCGTTGCCCTCGTGTGTATCTTTCTCCTTCTTGCCGCTGTACTGGCCGATGAAGGATCCGTCCTCGTTGAACTGGCCGTCCCCTCCCTCGCCGTAGTCCACCAGGCTGTCATCACTGTCGTCTCTCTTCACCGTGCCGTTGGACGGCGTCCGGCTGCCCTTCAGAGGCTTGTGGTCCTCCGTGTCACTAAGGGTTAGGAGGGAGGGGGAGAGCAAGAGATGTGAGTAAAGAGGTAGAGAGATGGTTTACTTTAGGTCAGATTGTTGTGGCTAAGTTTGGTCCTGGAGAGATACAGGGGCTGCAGGGTTTTGTTCCAGCCTGGCATTGATGCACCTGATTCACCTGACCAAGGTCTTGTTTAGGATGTGTTCAAGCTGGGCTGGAGCAAAAGCCTGGAACACCTAGTTCTGCAGGACTGGACTTGGTGACGAATACTTTGACATGATTCCATTTCAATCTATAAGGCGTGCTTCTCAGCATAATGCACATACTAGGCAGACATCAGACCATGTGCTCTCCATTGCATCTACATGCATTAAAGACTCAGAGGGATTCAAATAACAGATCTGTCCAAAATGCATAGGGGTCTTGGGGTCGAGGGGCTGAGTCGTACAAAAACCCTTTTATTGAAATGACAAACTGAACTGATTCTGGTGGATCAATCTACCAGTAGAAGTGCAGCACACTATATCCTGTACAACATTACCACTACGGTGAGAATACATCCTGTACAACATTACCACTACGGTGAGACTACATCCTGTACAACATTACCACTACGGTGAGACTACATCCTGTACAACATTACCACTACGGTGAGACTACATCCTGTACAACATTACACTACGTGAACTACATCCTGTACACCTTACCACTACGTGAGAATCATCCTGTACCACATTACCACTCGGTGAGAATTACATCCTGTACAACATTATAAGACTTAGTAATGGCTGTCCTTAGTATGTCCTCACCACTCGTACATTTATACCGTCTATAAATAACAACACTGAGTGGACAAAACATTAAGGATACCTACTCTTTCCATGACATAGCACCCGATTTAAGTTTATATAAGGTGGAGTTGAACACGTTGTTTATCTTGTCGTGACATAGACTGACCAGGTGAATCCAGGTGAAAGCTATGATCCCTTATTGATGTCACTTGTTAAATCCACTTCAATCAGTGTAGATGAAGGGGAGGATACAGGTTAAAGAAGGATTTTTAAGCCTTGAGACATGGATTCATTCAGAGGGTGAATGGGCAAGACAAAATATTTAAGTGCCTTTGAACAGGGTATGGTAGTAGGTGCCAGGGGCACCGGTTTGTGTCAAGAACTGCAACACTGCTGGGTTTTTCACGCTCAACAGTTTCCCGTGTGTATCAAGAATGGTCCACCACCCAAAGGACATCTAGCCAACTTGGCACAACTGTAGGAAGCATTGGAGTCAACATGGGCCAGCATCCCTGTGGAACGCTTTCGACACCTTGTAGAGTCCATACCCTGACGAATTGAGGCTGTTCTGAGGGCAAAAGGGGGTGCAACTCAATATTAGGAAGGTGTTCTTTATGTTTTGTACACTCAGTGTATATACTTATATTAGATCGACATTACAACGGCACAACTCATAAATACAACCGAATGTTGACATGTTTCTACCCAAAAGGAAACATTGAAAGCAACTGAAAATGAAGCCAAACAGGAAACACAGTCAAATAGTAGCTTCTGATTTTAGTGACTGTTAGTGTTCAATAAATATAACTGGTTTACAATCAGGTGCTGGACAACAAACAAGTGAGTAAAACTGACATAATATTATCTGTGCTCGGTTTGACAAGGCCCTACCCCTCTCCTTTAGTATCAGTTCAGACACACACAGACCGGTATCAGAGGTTGTGTGATGCATGCCAGGCTTGCTGTATGCTAATAGCATAACGCTAACCCTCTTACCTTTCCAGGGACCTACACCCCAAAGACAGAGAACAATGGAGGAACACATGAAGAGTGGTGGATGAGAAAATACATTCCGCTATGTGCTTTATTACAGTAGAAGCCTGCTATCAAACAGTCAACCCATGTATTACAGTAGCAGCCAGCTATCAAACAGTCAACCCATGTATTACAGTAGCAGACTGCTATCAAACAGTCAACCCATGTATTACAGTAGCAGACTGCTATCAAACAGTCAACCCATGTATTACAGTAGAAGCCAGCTATCAAACAGTCAACTCATGTGTTACAGTAGCAGCCAGCTATCAAACAGTCAACCCATGTGTTACAGTAGCAGCCTGCTATCAAACAGTCAACCCATGTGTTACAGTAGCAGCCTGCTATCAAACAGTCAACCCATGTATTACAGTAGAAGCCTCTATCAGTCAACACATGTTCGACGCACCGCAATTATTATTCAACTAAAAACACATACTTTTTTCTTATGAGTCAACAAAATCACAAAAAATGATTTGGCACAGAAAGTATGATGATGATATCACAAGATAGTGGTGTGCAGATAGAGACAGTAAAGCTTGATACCACTACTCAACAATGATAGCATGACAGATGTTTTTAATTTTACATTAAAATACATACGGTATTTGCACACACACACCAATGTATAAAAGTTGCTTAGATTGATTATAAAATCATATTTGTAAGTAAGTACAGCATTTACAGTGTTAATTAAACACAGAGAGGTGTAGATTCTGTGTTGTTAATTAAACACAGAGAGGTGTCGATTCTGTCTTGTTAATTAAACACAGAGATGTGTAGATTCTGTCTTGTTAATTAAACACAAAGAGGTGTAGATTCTGTCTTGTTAATTAAACACAGAGAGGTGTAGATTATGTGTTGTTAATTAAACACAGAGATGTGTAGATTCTGTCTTGTTAATTAAACACAAAGAGGTGTAGATTCTGTCTTGTTAATTAAACACAGAGAGGTGTAGATTCTGTCTTGCCTCGAGGGAGTCAGGAAGGGAGAGTTTCCTTGTTCCTTGGTAAAATGTTCTATACATCCAAACATGTCAATCAGAACAACATGTCAATCAGAACAACATGTCAATCAAAACAACATGTCCATCAGAACAACATGTCAATCAGAACAACATGTCAATCAGAACAACATGTCAATCAGAACAACATGGAACAAGTACAGTAGTCTTCAACAGGAATGTGTGTGTTGTGTTATAGAGTGTCTCTCACCTGTACTCTCCAAACGTCCCATCATCCTCCTTCATAGGCTGGATCTCTGGGTCTTGGTGAGCGTCCTCTTTTTCTTTCACTGTGGATACGATTAATATCATTGTTGCTGAATGTCTAGGGTGTGTGTGTGTGTGTGTGTGTGTGTGTGTGTGTGTGTGTACCTGGGTATTTCCCTCCCTTGTTCCTCTTGATGAAGCAGACGATGAGGAGGATGAGGATGAGGAGTGCGATGGCACACATCAGCCCTATGAACCAGCCCTGAGTGGCTAGGTCTACCTGGTTGCTTTTCATTGCTTCTGACAGACACACACACACGCACGCACGCACACACACACACACACACACACACACACACACACACACACACACACACCACACACACACACACACACACACACAGGAAGAAGAGAAAGGGCAAAGTGGTCAGAGTGCTAGAAGGTGCTAGAAGGTGCTAGAAGGTGAATATTTGAAGGGGGGAGTGGCGCAGGCAAGGACCTGTATAAATAACGGTTAAATTAAATTAAGAAGCAGGAGGGAATTTCCCAAAAATTGTTTAAGGATGAAAAGATCTGATAAAAAAAAGTAATTAATGTTTTCAAAAATGAAGACATGCAATGACAATGACCCTCTACTGCACATACAGTCAACTTTCACTGAACACTAACTGAAAAGAGACAGGATACCTTAAAATGAATTAGGGACATCATGCTTCAAACCTTGCTCTTCCCATGCTTTTACACTAGCTACACCCCAGATTATTACTGGTCAAACTGATGGAGGTCTTATCATGGGAGGAGGGCATGGAAGGGTGACGCAGGCAACTACAAGGAACAATCATCTACTGTACATCAGGGTTGGGGTCAATTCCATTTCAATTCAGTCAATTCTAATTCATTGAAAAGCAATGAGGAACATTAGAAATAGAATTGTAACTGGAACAGTTAACTTCCTGAATTGACTAATATTGAAATGGAATTGTCTCCAACCCTGCAGTGCACTGAGGCAGAGCGCTCTGAACATGCTGCCTCACCTGGCAGCGTTATCACTAGCTCCTCTGTACTGTGTATGGTAGCCTCAGAACGGTCTTTAACTACCACCCGAACCCTATAGGACGTCCCCGGCTTTAAGCCCTTTATCAGATAGGTCTGAGACCCGCTACTGCCGTTTACAAACTCTTTTGTCCAGTCTTCTTTACCTGGAGGGAATGGAGGGGTTGGGAAGAAAGTGAAAATCGAGAGAAGGAAAGTATGTATTGGAAAAGGCAAGTATTTGGGTGATAATATGATGTATGTACTGAAAAACGTTTTATTACTTCAAACTTTTGAGTTGAGCATGCCACTTCCTCATTCTATGAGGTATGTTAACAGTGGGTTTGCATACTCATTTTTATAGGCACTGATGATCCAAGTTTAGGAATAAATGAACAATGATACTTTAACGTTTGACAGGCAGTTTATATGCTTAACTGTATGTTTATGAGCATGCAATTTGCTTTGTGATGTGATGAGACGATATTGTATAGAAGTAGGAATAGCTTACTGTTTTCTACAATATACTCCACATACACATTCTTATCTGGTCCAAAGTATTCCCAACTTATCACTGCTCCCTCCTCTCCCACCACAGATGAGTTTACATTGGTGAACGCCGGGCCTATCGGACCCACTGACCACACAGGGAAGAACATACATACAGGACAGGTGTTGAGCTACACAAGTTGGAATCATAGCCAGTAATATACAGTCTCAGAGACAGGACGTTACAGAAGGTCATGGAGGAGTTAACTTAGACTCAAATACAAACTGTAGACTTTGTAACCTAATAATGTTTTGTTTTCCAGAAAATGAGTCACACCTTTCACTAAATGTCTACAGATATTCTGCTTTTTCTTACTTTTCTGCATTTTCCACCATATTTCCCTGAGAACTAATCATTTCTCATATGCAAGCTAGACACAGGACACACAACTGCCCTAAACGATAAGTTAAAATGTTCCTCTTTTGGGCTAGAGATTTAATGGAGAGAGAAGTAAGGGACACAGGGAATGGCTGTAGTACCCTTGTGAAACGGGGGGCGCAGAGACTGAGTGATGGGAGAGATTGGATGATGGGGTTCTGTGTGGCCTGAAACAACAACACCACAGAGAAGAGTAAGACACCACAAACACCACCACCACCACAGACACCACAAACACCACAAACACCACCACCACCACCACCACCACAGACACCACAAACACCACAGACACCACCACCACCACTACAGACACCACAGACAACACAAACACCACAAACACCACCACCACCACCACCACCACCATCACAAACACCACAAACACCACAGACACCACCACCACAGACACCACAAACACCACCACCACCACAGACACCACAAACAACACAGACACCACAAACACCACAAACACCACAGACACCACAAACACCACAGACACCACAGACACCACTACCACCACAAACAACACAAACACCACAAACACAACAGACACCACAGACAAACAAATAGTACCACAATACTATAGAGTAGTTACTAGTAGTTCTAGTAGTTAGAGATAGAGCAGTTAACAGCATGCAGACTGTCCAGTGGTACAGCATCATGCAGGACGGCTTAATAAAGCAAATGACACAGTGGTGGAATTCATTCATGAGCAAGAGCAAGGGAATAGGGGAAAGACTGAGAGAATGAAAGAGATGAGTAGCCTAGAATATTAATCCATTTAGGTCTTTTAACGTGACCCTTCTTTTTCGAATTGGACACAAGGCTTGGTGCTTGCGGATGCAATGAACGCAGTTATAGGATGATTTCTTTAGCTTACCACTTAGAGTGAGGAAATGCTTTGGGGGCATGCATTCTAAGCAGTGTTCTAGAACGGCTATTGGAACGTAGCCTTAGAGTTAACATCTACTCCCACAGTAGCTAACACAGAGCATTATGGGTACTGTAGTGCATCATGCTACAGTTCGCTGATGATGGAGGAAGGCACATGCAGACAGATCTACAGTAGCTATCTATCAGAGTCTAGTTTCTCTATCTGGCAGAACATGCAGGTGCTTCCGCTGAGAGACTTATTTTACCTTTGACCACATCTACTATGGGTTGCTGTATAAAGGCTTCAGAGAGAAGAGGAGGAAGAGGGGAATAAAGAGAGAGAGAAGAGATGAGAGCACAAACACAGGCAGAGGTGATGTAAGTAGACGAGCAAGGAAAGGTACAACTAGATCACACTGGGGTCCCATTTTAAAAGACAAAGTCTTATTTCACCAAGTTGAAGCCAAACAGAATGATTCACTACAGGTCGAACAACACGGGTGACAGTTTTACCACACTTGAACACGTCAAAGAGTTCATGCAACCTGCAAAGTGTCCGCTGAGAAAAGAATGACTCCCATATGGGACGCCGTAGGAAACGTTGGACGCTGCGCTGTAGGAAAAGTTACAGTCCGTAAACTGCCGCCCACCACTTGTTTTGGTAAACAGCTGAGAGAAATCTGAGAGAAACCACTCTCAAATTCCTAGACAGCTGCTTTAAACTTCAACACACCCATAATACTTTGTACAATTTGCTTTCACAGTACCTAAAGCTCCATAGAGATACATTAGATTCCCTGACCAAGATGGCCGTCCTGTAATCACCTTGCCGGGATGCCAAAGGCCATTCTAGTGTTGGATTTCATTCTACGTAAAACTTACCTTCATCCATGATAGTGACAGCCTCCTCTGTGATGGTTGGGCCGGAGCCCTTGATGGTCTTAGCGTTGAAGTAAAACTTGTAGCGGGTGCTGTACTTGAGGTTGGCCAGGGTTATGGTGGTCTCATTGGCTGGGAACGTCATCTCCTCCATGGGACCAAGCTCATTGGAGTTGTTGACTGAGAGAGAGAGAGGAGGAGGAGGGGGAGAGAGAGAGAGAGAGAGAGAGAGAGAGAGGAGAGAGAGAGAGAGAGAGAGAGAGAGAGAGAGAGAGAGAGAGCAGAGAGAGAAGAGAGGACGATTGATAGAGGAGCGATAGATCGCTCTCTTCGAGAGAGCTGCTATCTAGCGAGCGCGAGAGTAAGTAGAGAGCAGAGAGCCGAGACGAGAGAGCTAGAGAGAGAGAGAAGATCAGAGACCTAGAGAGAGCCAGAGAGAGAGAGAGAGAGAGAGAGAGAGAGAGAGAGAGAGATCCATGAAGATAAAGATATTGAAACGCTTCTTTTGATTTTAACCCAATCACACTGAGGCACACACACATACACACCCATAGGGGTAGAAGCCAGGGTCAGCCACTTACCTGGCTGGTATTTCAGTGTGTATCCGGTGAGACGGCCATTGTTGTCCTGTGGAGGACCCCACTCCAGCGTCAAAGAGTCCATGTTGGGGTTCTTTATACGCAGGAAGGAAGGAGGACCGGGGACTAAACACACACAGACAAACACAGGAATACAATGACATAATGTATGGATGCAATTATAAAACATTACTTATTAACTAAAGAAAAACATCATTCATAAGCACAAAACCATATAGTAGCGTACAGACAAAACCATTCTAACCTGATATGGAATGTGAACAAGTACTGACCTTTTATCAGCCTTGTTTCAAGCCCATAGTGAGCCCCTTCCTACAGTATAGCACAATGCATGACTAAATGTACACAGTAGTGGTGGCTGGTGGCACTTTAAATGGGGAGGACGGGCTCATGGTAATGGCTGGAGCGGAGTAAATGGAATGGTCTCAAACACATCAAACGCCTGGTTTTCATGTGTTTGATACCATTCCATTCACTCCATTCCATTCATTATTATGATCCATCCTCCCCTCACCAGCCTCCTTTGGTATACGGATTACACACAGAGAATCTATCCAATAACAGTAGGAGTCTGAATGATGACCCTTACTTCCCTCTGGGGTCTCAAAGTTCTGGTTGGGGCTGGGGGGCCCCTCTCCCTTGCCGTTGACCACCCTGATGTTGAGTGTGTAGAGGCTGTATGGTTGGAGGCCTGGTAGTCTGCCCTCACTCCTGTTCCCACTGAAGGCCAACACCTGCTGCTCCCCCTGTTGTCCCTCTGCCTGGTGGAGGCTACGTTCACGCCAGTAGGTCACCTGCAGGACCACACACACACACACACACACACACACACACACACACACACACACACACACACACACACACACACACACATCACACACACACACATCACACATCACACATCACACATCACACATCACACATCACACATCACACATCACACATCACACATCACACATCACAAACATCACACAAACATTCTGGTCACTTTCACAAAATTACCAGGTTTTTCCTGGTTCGATGATTGTCAGATTTCCTGCTTATCCCCTCCTGATTGCAGGAAAACATGGGTATTTTGGCAAACATACCAGAATCTTGCCACCTTAACTTTGCCACTAACTGCTACGTATGTATTTCAACTATCAATATACTGTAGTGATAATAAACATTTCTCCACATTGTGAGGGATCCCTGGTTTCTGTGTACACTACCTTGTAGCCCTGTAGTCGTCCTCTGACCATGGGGGTGAGGACAGGCTCCCAGTGAACCTCTGCTAGCGTCCCGTTCTGAACCAGCACCTGGACACTCTCTGGGGCTGACATGGGCACTGAGTGACAGACAAACAGTTCAACAGACTATACTCCATACTGGCATCAAATGTTTCATGACAACATCATTCTAATTTGCATTCTAACTAGAAATGAATGGGAGCAGGAAGTTATTGGAACTTATGGTGACAGTTTCAGTTGGGCTCTGAAAATGATGCATGGCTCTGAAAAAGACCATTGCTCTCTCCATTCACAACCTCCTCATGTACAGTAGTAGTACTCACAGTCCTCTCTACACACAAACACACACACACACACAGACACATACACATACACAAACACACACACACACACACACAATACAATACTCACCGTCCTCTCCAGAGTATCCCACCACTGTCTCAGGCGCTGGTCCGTTTCCATAGTCGTTCACCGCCTGAACTTTGACCTCGTAGGGTACGAAAGTGGGCGTGCCTGACACCACATACTTGGAGGCGTTTGCCACGGTCTCAGAAGACCAGTCCTCCTCCACATCCTTCTGTCTCCAGTTCACCTTGTACTGTAGTCCTGGCCCGTTGGACTGGAGGCCTGTCAGCTCCTATGGGAGAGAGATTAGAGGGGAAGAGGGGAAGAGGGGTCTTGGAATCACTGGGATAATAATGATATGGTGCCACCATGAATAGGGTCAGGAATACTCAAACTGATCCACTGCAGGCTGCTGAATTAGGACTAATGATAGTGATTATACTTTAGATGGAGCATATCTTACCTTCCATGAGATGACTAAGTTATTATGTTCAGTTCCAACACCTTGGACATCTGTTGGATTCTCAGCTGGAGCTAACAGAGTCACAAACAGATCACAGATCAGACCAAACCTATTTTCTACAGTGTACATCACACCATCTTACTCTATAGTAATCCCTACCTCTCACTCTAACACTTCTGACCATCTTACTCTATAGTAATCCCTACCTCTCACTCTAACACTTCTGACCATCTTACTCTATAGTAATCCCTACCTCTCACTCTAACACTTCTGACCATCTTACTCTATAGTCATCCCTACCTCTCACTCTAACACTTCTGACCATCTTACTCTATAGTAATCCCTACCTCTCACTCTAACACTTCTGACCATCTTACTCTATAGTAATCCCTACCTCTCACTCTAACACTTCTGACCATCTTACTCTATAGTCATCCCTACCTCTCACTCTAACACTTCTGACCATCTTACTCTATAGCCATCCCTACCTCTCACCCTAACACTTCTGACCAACCTACTCTTCAACACTAGTCATCCCTACCTCTAACACTTCTACAGTTTTAGAACAGACCATTTGCATTTCTTTGACAATAAACTAAGATGCACAGTATAGTTTTACCTGCAGGGTTTGTCCTGTACTGTTTGGAGGGCTGGCTGGGCTGGCTGTGGCCCACATGGTTTAATAAACTAAGATCCACAGTATAGTTTTACCTGCAGGGTTGGTCCTGTACTGCCTGGAGGGCTGGCTGGGCTGGCTGTGGCCCACATGGTTCATGGCCAGCACCCTGAAGGAGTAGTAGACGTAGGGGGACAGGTCCAGGTGGGCCGTGGTCTTGGTGCCCTCCACCTCTGTCAGGTTGTGCCACACCCCAGCCTGGTGGAGCAGATCCTCATACTGGACCAGGAACTCTGGGAGGGGAGACAACATGGAGGAGGGGTTAGAACATGGAGGAGGGGTTAGAACATGGAGGAGGGGTTAGAACACGAAGGAGGGGTTAGAACATAGAGGAGTGGTTAGAACATTGAGGAGGGGTTAGAAAATGGAGGAGGGGTTAGAACATGGAGGAGGGGTTAGAACATGGAGGAGGGGTTAGAACATGGAGGAGGGGTTAGAACATGGAGGAGGGGTTAGAACACAAGAGGAGGGAAATGGATTGGATCTTGGGTTGGTAGTGACCCTGTTGACCCTGTTGGTAGTGACCCTGTTGACCCTGTTGGTAGTGACCCTGTTGTGTTCATTATAATACAGTACGCTGTGTAGGGCTGTTGTGTTCATTATAATACAGTACTCTGTGTAGGGCTGTTGTGTTCATTATAATACAGTACTCTGTGTAGGGCTGTTGTGTTCATTATAATACAGTACTCTGTGTAGGACTGTTGTGTTCATTATAATACAGTACTCTGTGTGGGGCTGTTGTGTTCATTATAATACAGTACTCTGTGTAGGACTGTTGTGTTCATTATAATACAGTACTCTGTGTAGGGCTGTTGTGTTCATTATAATACAGTACTCTGTGTAGGGCTGTTGTGTTCATTATAATACAGTACTCTGTGTAGGGCTGTTGTGTTCATTATAATACAGTACTCTGTGTGGGGCTGTTGTGTTCATTATAATACAGTACTCTGTGTAGGACTGTTGTGTTCATTATAATACAGTACTCTGTGTAGGACTGTTGTGTTCATTATAATACAGTACTCTGTGTAGGGCTGCTGTGTTCATTATAATACAGTACTCTGTGTAGGACTGTTGTGTTCATTATAATACAGTACTCTGTGTAGGGCTGCTGTGTTCATTATAATACAGTACTCTGTGTAGGGCTGTTGTGTTCGTCTCCAGGTATCCAGGTGAGCTGGACGCTCCTATCTCTCTGGTCAGTCAGCTCCAGGTCTGTAGGAGGGTCCGGTTCCTCTGGAGAGGAAAACATGGTGTCAGTACCACTCACTACAACAACAAGGTCACTTGATGCTTTGGGTGGTGGGAGTCAGCATGCCTTGTTTGATAAACTGATTAACTGAGCGCGAGTCTAAAATGAGCAGGATACAACTCCAACACAAAACACAGTAGTCAGACATAGGAACTAATAATAATAATAATCACACTACTGAATAAATCTAATGATACACCAGACACTTCAAACACACACAGACTGGTTCCCTCTGGTCACGGTCTGTCAATGTGCCACTGCAGGAGCATCACAACAGAGCCATAGCATGCTAACAAAACGGTCAGGACTGTTACAGTAAGGGTGAGGGTCAGCTCTCACACACTCAGGACTGTTACAGTAAGGGTGAGGGTCAGCTCTCACACACTCAGGACTGTTACAGTAAGGGTGAGGGTCAGCTCTCACACACTCAGGACTGTTACAGTAAGGGTGAGGGTCAGCTATCACACACTCAGGACTGTTACAGTAAGGGTGAGGGTCAGCTCTCACACACTCAGGACTGTTACAGTAAGGGTGAGGGTCAGCTCTCACACACTCAGGACTGTTACAGTAAGGGTGAGGGTCAGCTCTCACACACTCAGGACTGTTACAGTAAGAGTGAGGGTCAGCTCTCACACACTCAGGACTGTTACAGTAAGGGTGAGGGTCAGCTCTCACACACTCAGGACCGAGGGAGAGGAGTGGATGAGGAATGATGACGATGGTGATGGTGATGGAATGCTAATACGGCCAATAGTGCCAGCGTTGTTTACCGTAGACAATAGCAGGAGTTGGAGTAGCCTCTGAGAGAGCGAGGGCAGGCGTAAGGTAGGAGTTAGAGGTTAGTGACACAACATTGGTCTGAGAGAGGGAGAATAAGACTACACAGCAACAGTAAGGTTATGAAATACTACTGTTACTATAGTCAATCATCAGTATTACAACACTCTAGTATTGGTTATGAAATACTACTGTTACTATAGTCAATCATCAGTATTACAACACTAGTATTGGTTATGAAATACTACTGTTACTATAGTCAATCATCAGTATTACAACACTCTAGTATTGGTTATGAAATACTACTGTTACTATAGTCAATCATCAGTATTACAACACTAGTATTGGTTATGAAATACTACTGTTACTATAGTCAATCATCAGTATTACAACACTCTAGTATTGGTTATGAAATACTACTGTTACTATAGTCAATCATCAGTATTACAACACTAGTATTGGTTATGAAATACTACTGTTACTATAGTCAATCATCAGTATTACAACACTCTAGTATTGGTTATGAAATACTACTGTTACTATAGTCAATCATCAGTATTACAACACTAGTATTGGTTATGAAATACTACTGTTACTATAGTCAATCATCAGTATTACAACACTCTAGTATTGGTTATGAAATACTACTGTTACTATAGTCAATCATCAGTATTACAACACTAGTATTGGTTATGAAATACTACTGTTACTATAGTCAATCATCAGTATTACAACACTAGTATTGGTTATGAAATACTACTGTTACTATAGTCAATCATCAGTATTACAACACTAGTATTGGTTATGAAATACTACTGTTACTATAGTCAATCATCAGTATTACAACACTAGTATTGGTTATGAAATACTACTGTTACTATAGTCAATCATCAGTATTACAACACTCTAGTATTGGTTATGAAATACTACTGTTACTATCGTCAATCATCAGTATTACAACACTAGTATTGGTTATGAAATACTACTGTTACTATAGTCAATCATCAGTATTACAACACTAGTATTGGTTATGAAATACTACTGTTACTATAGTCAATCATCAGTATTACAACACTCTAGTATTGGTTATGAAATACTACTGTTACTATCATCAATGATCAGTATTACAACACTAGTATTGGTTATGAAATACTACTGTTACTATAGTCAATCATTAGTATTACAACACTAGTATTGGTTATGAAATACTACTGTTACTATAGTCAATAATCAGTATTACAACACTAGTATTGGTTATGAAATACTACTGTTACTATAGTCAATCATCAGTATTACAACACTAGTACTGGTTATGAAATACTACTGTTACTATAGTCAATCATCAGTATTACAACACTAGTATTGGTTATGAAATACTACTGTTACTATAGTCAATCATCAGTATTACAACACTAGTATTGGTTATGAAATACTACTGTTACTATAGTCAATCATCAGTATTACAACACTAGTATTGGTTATGAAATACTACTGTTACTATAGTCAATCATCAGTATTACAACACTAGTATTGGTTATGAAATACTACTGTTACTATAGTCAATCATCAGTATTACAACACTAGTATTGGTTATGAAATACTACTGTTACTATAGTCAATCATCAGTATTACAACACTAGTATTGGTTATGAAATACTACTGTTACTATAGTAAATCATCAGTATTACAACACTAGTACTGGTTATGAAATACTACTGTTACTATAGTCAATCATCAGTATTACAACACTAGTATTGGTTATGAAATACTACTGTTACTATAGTCAATCATCAGTATTACAACACTAGTATTGGTTATGAAATACTACTGTTACTATAGTCAATCATCAGTATTACAACACTAGTATTGGTTATGAAATACTACTGTTACTATGGTCAATCATCAGTATTACAACACTCTAGTATTGGTTATGAAATACTACTGTTACTATAGTCAATCATCAGTATTACAACACTAGTATTGGTTATGAAATACTACTGTTACTATAGTCAATCAACAGTATTACAACACTAGTATTGGTTATGAAATACTACTGTTACTATAGTAAATCATCAGTATTACAACACTAGTACTGGTTATGAAATACTACTGTTACTATAGTCAATCATCAGTATTACAACACTAGTATTGGTTATGAAATACTACTGTTACTATAGTCAATCATCAGTATTACAACACTAGTATTGGTTATGAAATACTACTGTTACTATGGTCAATCATCAGTATTACAACACTCTAGTATTACAACTGTGTGTGAGCGTTGGATCAGACTACAAAGTATGTAAATAAAGATGTTAGCAGACTATTCAGAACAAGCTTGTCTACCACAGAGACTAAAAACATCCTTTGTCATAAGGGTAAGTAAAGGAGATAGAATATAGATAACAAGGAAATGATAGAATGTGTTTTATTTCCTAAGATAAGTTAGGTAAACATCATGTGAAGTATAATGGTAAACCCACCAACGACAGTGAGCATGGCGCTAGCTGAGTCCTGGTCCAGGGTGGTGTTCATGACACAGGTGTAGGTTCCCTCGTCCCCCTCTGTCACGTCTTTGATGGTCAGACTGTCAGTGTCCACCACGAACCTAACAAAACACCACCACACACAGTCAGACAATCCTGCTTACAGTAACATCCAACCATACATTTACTAAAATACTTTTGCTCCAGCCCTGCTATAACACACCTAATGTGTGGTCCTCTGTAGCTCAGCTGGTAGAGCACGGCGCTTGTATCGCCAAGGTAGTGGGTTCGATCGCCGGGACCACCCATACACAAAAATGTATGCACGCATGACTGTAAGTCGCTTTGGATAAAAGCGTCTGCTAAATGGCATATTATTATTATTATAATGCAGCTAATAAAGGGCCTGAGGAGCAGTTTGATTAGTAGAATGAGGTGTGTCAGAATCATGGAGGACGGTATCTCTCCTGGAGGAGGGTTGACCACCACTGGCCTATAGCAGACCCATGTCTGTAAAGAGAACATGTGTATAGAGGAGATGGTCTCCAGTACCTCTCGTCGTCAGGCAGCTCTCCGTTGTCTTTGAGCCAGGTCATGGTGGGGATGAGGGTGGGGTCGTGTTTTACTTTACACTCAAACACTGCCTTCCTGTTCCTCTGGACCACCATGTACTCTGGCTGGGCCAGGATCCTCGTCGGCTCTGGAGGAAAATACACACATATGGTTACACTTCCTATGAATACCCTCTTCATAATGCATTATAACATCTATAACTACATTCATAATGGATCATAACATATATAACTACATTCATAATGGATTATAACATATATAACTACATTCATGATGCATTATAACATCTATAACTACATTCATAATGGATTATAACATATATAACTACATTCATAATGCATTATAACATTTATAACTACATTCATAATGGATTATAACATCTATAACTACATTCATAATGCATTATAAGTGTCTATAAAGACATTCATAATGCATTATAAGTGTCTATAACTACAGGCATAATGCATCATAAGTGTCTATAACTACATTCATAATGCATTATAAGTGTATATAACTACATTCATAATGCATTATAAGTGTATATAACTACATTCATAATGCATTATAAGTGTCTATAACTATATTCATAAAGCATTATAAGTGTCTATAACTACATTCATAAAGCATTATAATCAGGTTAGGAGCGGGCTTGTCTGACCTTTGACCTCTAGGTAGACATGGTTCTCCTTTGTTCCCAGGTTGTTGGAGGCTATACAGGTGTACTTGCCACTGTTCAGGGGCTGGGCTACGTTGATCTCTAAGGTACCGTTATTATGGATCATATATGGGTCTCTATTCAGGATACTAGTCTGGCTGTCCTTAAACCTGCAGAGGAAACACATTAGAACACTAGGACCCTGAGAGACTATCAGAGGAAACACACTAGAACACTAGGACCCTGAGAGACTTCATCAGAGGAACCACATTAAACACTAGGACTCCTGGTGATAGCTTCATCAGAGGAAACACATTAGAACACTAGGACCCTGTGAGACTCCATCAGAGGAAACACATTAGAACACTAGGACCCTGTGAGACTTCATCAGAGGAAACACACTAGAACACTAGGACCCTGAGAGACTTCATCAGAGGAAACACACTAGAACACTAGGACCCTGTGAGACTTCATCAGCTCAGTTCCTTATGAGAAGATAATGTAGAACAGTTTGTGACTGTAGGACTTTACTGGACACTGTGTCATATTCATTAGCAGCCCTCTGTTCACGATCACACTAGCCTCAGTGATCTCCATTAGGAAGTGCAGTGGTGTTAACAGAGTGGTGTTAACAGAGTGCCCTTTACAACATCCCTACGTGGTGTCTCTTGTGAGAAAGGTTTTTGAGAGCATGAAAAAGCTACTGGGCAACCACTGGATATGTACTGTACCTACTTTATAAACAAGATGGGAGACTTAGAGTCTGGCTGACTGGCTTGCGAGACTCTGGCTGACTGGCTTATGAGACTAGACTCTGGCTGACTGGCTTGTGAGACTAGACTCTGGCTAACTGGCTTATGAGACTAGACTCTGGCTGACTGGCTTGCGATACTTAGAGTCTGATGGACTAACCATGTGATGGTTGGTATGGGTGAGCCGAACGAGGCACAGTCCAGTAAAGCAGGATTGTTGGTGATGACCTGGTACACATTGTTGGGGGGAGTCAGCACCCTTGGTGCTTCGGCTGAAAACAGAAACAAATAATATTGATAATGATTACTATACCATACCTTGACATGAGAATGACGCAGCGAACACAAAATGCTCAAGAGTTCAGAGTTGTTTTTTGTTTATTGACTCAATATCCTGATTCTAAAAGGCAGACTCAATGGTTGTGTTTCCAGTAACTCACCAAGCACATTGACAAAAGCATTAGCCAGCAGGTAGCCAAACTCATTGGAGGCGTTGCACTGGTAGACAGCGCTGGAGCCGGTCTGGACGTCGCTCAGAATCACTGTGTCGTCCTCCACCTTCCGACTCACGTCCTTCGGAGAGTCTATCAAGGGATCACAGGCTGGATATACAAGTATGTCACACATTCAATCCTCTGTTCACTCTTCCTCCTGCACATCTGGATGTTCATACTCAACAGAGAGATGAAACCGTATAGATGTGTGCTCTGGTCACATAGGGGACGAATCCTAACTTGAGATAGGATACTCTACTTGCGTGCATCACCATGTTTCGTGCAAATCTCTCATTGACATCAATGAATGATTTCTGCAAAAGTATCTGAGCTCTGTTGCTGTTCTACCTACTGTGAAACACACTGACTGTAAATCGCTCTGGATAAGAGTGTTTTCTAAATTACTCAAATGTAAATGTAAGCTTTAGTGTGCATTTCTCCAGTTAGGATTCGTTCCATTGAGCCGCAGGCTGGGGTGGAAGTGGACTAGACTCACTTTCGATGGGGACTCCGTTGACGGACCATGTGATTTTGGGCTTGGGGTCTCCATTGACCCTGCAGGTGAGGATGCCCGTCTCCATGGGGGCCAGTATCAGGTTCCTGGGGGCACTGATCCAGAACGGAGCCGCTGAGGGGGAGGGGTGGTGGGGGGTGGATTAGTCAGGAAGAGAGAGGAGAGTGACGACTAATCTGCATGCCAAATTCTAAACACAATGCTTGAAAAAATAGCCTTCCTATAGTTTTCACCACCCTGCAAACACTCTATGTGAACACTGTAAAGGTATAGTGTTGGGAACATTTCTGTTACGGTAACACTGTAAAGGTACTAGTGTCAGGAACATTTCTGTTACGGTAACACTGTAAAGGTACTAGTGTCAGGAACATTTCTGTTACGGTAACACTGTAAAGGTACTAGTGTCAGGAACATTTCTGTTACGGTAACACTGTAAAGGTACTAGTGTCAGGAACATTTCTGTTACAGTAACACTGTAAAGGTACTAGTGTCAGGAACATTTCTGTTACGGTAACACTGTAAAGGTACTAGTGTCAGGAACATTTCTGTTACGGTAACACTGTAAAGGTACTAGTGTCAGGAACATTTCTGTTACGGTAACACTGTAAAGGTACTAGTGTCAGGAACATTTCTGTTATGGTAACACTGTAAAGGTACTAGTGTTAGGAACATTTCTGTTACGGTAACACTGTAAAGGTACTAGTGTTAGGAACATTTCTGTTACGGTAACACTGTAAAGGTACCAGTGTCAGGAACATTTCTCCACATATTTCATCTAGTCCTAACTCTGCGTTGTGTCACAGACCTTTGACGTTGACTTTGATGATGTGGTGGGCGGAGCCTAGGCTGTTCTTGGCGGTGCAGCGGTAGTCCCCAGCGTCCGCCTCCATCACGTCTGCGATCTTCAACGTCTTCTGGAAGTTGTGGAAGGACATCCGGCTGCTAGGAAGGTCGCCACTCTCCTTATACCAGGACACCTCCGGAGTCGGGCTAGCAAAAACAACAACAAAAAAGAAATAATTTACCAATATCTGTGTATTGTCATCTCCCAAAAAGAACAGACAGACAGCTAGTCAACTGTTGTCTAGGTAACCAGCCTGGTTTTGCAATACCAAACAAGTAGTATTGCTGAATGCAGAAACAGTCAGATACAAAGACTAAACAAACCAACCTGCCCTTGTGCAAAAACAGAAGTCAAAAACCTTGTGCACAGCAGTGTTGTTCAAGCAGTGTTGTGGGTGTACTTACAGTCCTTCAGCGATACACTCCAGCTCCAGAACCCCTCCTCTCAGGGCCATCTGGGTGCTGCTCTTCCCAAGAGGAGCCATGAAGCTGGGTTGCCGCTCCCCCGATGGACTGTCTGGAGAACAGGACAGGAAACAACCATCTCAGCACCAGAACCACACGTTTCTTATACCCTGTTCACACTACTGAGCCAAGCCGAGCTGAGACAAGCTGAGTAGTACTTCACTGACCTGGGTAGTGGGTACATATCCACCATAGTTGCTGGATTGGAAAGGGTATAACTGTCTGTAGCTAGCTGTGAGCGTTCAGTTCGTAGAGCCAGTAGTCCAGCACCAGCGACATATAGACTATTAAAGGATAGTAGTAATATCACGTGCTGTTATGGACTGTGATAGTGGATATATAATGACTTAACTGTAGCCAGGCAGGCCCTACGTTGGCCCTATCAGAGGCTGCTTCCCAAACAGCACCCTATTCAGCATAGTGCACTATATACAGTATGGCCACTGGTCTAAAGTAAACACAGAACACCTGGAGAGACAGGTCGTCCTTCGTCAATCCGTTGCCAAGACAACCAAGGGATCTCTCACTGCCCCTAGAGCTTCCTTCCACCACATCACCCTTAGTATCCTTCCTCGATATAATCATATGACAGATTTTAGCCATAAGCTAGCTACGGTTGCTATGATTCTGACATTTTCAGCCATAAGCAATCCCTTACTGAAAGGTCTTGGAAAATATCTTCCGGGTAAATTTATAATTAGACTAGATTGAGTGAGTAGAGCTGGGGGGAATGTGCTGTATACAACACATTGACGTGAACCGCTGATTTGATGGACAGAACACAGATTGAGTTTAATGATCTTTCCATGCATGCCTTTTTCAGGGTCGGAGACTTACATTAAAAGAACATGGAAAGATCTAGAAGAGAGAGAAAATACTGCCTATGGGTCAGGCAAGAGTTTCATCAAACTAGTCCTATATGCTGTTTGCTTCACATTGGATTTCATCATCTAACTATTGGGTTACGTGTTGAATTGAAACTAGGAGGAGCATACCTTTTACTATGAATAATGCTAAGCTAATGCTCAGCCTATGGTTAACATTAGTAGATTAATGTCCATTGCTTTGGAAGGAATATCCAGCCAAAGAAAGGAACATCCATTACAGTAAAGAAAAGGGATTTGATTGGTTGCTTTTTCCTGATTGGTTTTCTATAAATTAATCCACCTTTCATTTAGACATTTGGTTTTCAAAGTGAGAAGGTATGCTAAGCTAACAAAGTACAGCGTAAAGGGAGAGGGTTTAGTTATGGAATTTAATTAACATTGTTTGATGTTATTTTGTAATATTATGTTATAAATGTTAATTTAGTCACACAGGAGGAGGTTGGGAGTAGATTATCAGGTCAGGTATATTCCAGGTAGGTTATACAACAGGTTGTTGGAGTCAGGTGGGTCAGGTATATTCCAGGTAGGTTATGCAACAGGTTGTTGGAGTCAGGTGGGTCAGGTATATTCCAGGTAGGTTATACAACAGGTGTTGGAGTCAGGTGGGTCAGGTATATTCCAGGTAGGTTATACAACAGGTGTTGGAGTCAGGTGGGTCAGGTATATTCCAGGTAGGTTATACAACAGGTGTTGGAGTCAGGTGGGTCAGGTATATTCCAGGTAGGTTATACAACAGGTGTTGGAGTCAGGTGGGTCAGGTATATTTCAGGTGAGGTTAGACTAAAAGGAGGAGTTGGGATGGGGCTGGGTTCACTTTGGGGTAAGGGGGTAAACCAGCACTCACCAACAAATAAATCGTTCGTATAATTGTACATAGCTGCCACAGTTTCATTGATTGCATCCACTGTAAAAATCAATCAGAAGTATCAGAAGCATGCAGTACTACTTAGACATCTACAGGGGAACAACCATGGGGGAGATTCAGTTCAGAGAAAGGGAGATCATCGAACAACAGCAACATGAAAGGACAGTTTTAAAAAATGCATCACACATTCAAATGATGTGAGTATTACAAAATACTCTAGAAAATGATCACAATATTAAAATATTGCAAAACAAGGTAATGTGGAGATGCACAGAAACATGTAAACATACAATGACAATTAATGTCATGGTTTCCACTAAGACCACAGATAGAACCAGACAACCCAGGGACAGCCCAGGACATAGACCGTCTTGCCCAAATTTGCTCCCTTTGCCTTGGCCCTAACCCTTGTTTGCTGATCTGAAGGGTATTGATAGGTATAAGCAGTGTAATGGTGGAGCTTCCACCTTATTGCTTCCAACTTACAGATCAGCAAACATCTAAGGGTTAGGAACCCACTGAGACTGGTTAAAAGTCTCTGTGCTGAGTGGGATGGACACTTACTGTCCAGGACTTTGACAGTGATGGGTTGTTTCTGCTGAATGGTCTGTGTGTGGGGGAAGCGGGCATAACAGATGTAGTCGTTCCTGGTGTCATCCAATAGGACGTTAGAGAAGTACAGGTCCCCGTTTAACGCCTGGGACACACGTGTGTTCTGAGGTAGGCGCTGGAAGTCTGGAGGGGGGGGAGGGGGGGGGGGGAAACATGAATATGTTACACATGGTGGTTGTATACAATTACACTAAATATTTATGCTTGCTGACAACCAAAAACAACCTCTATATAAACTCTAAACACATTGTATTGCACAGTCCGACAATAAGACTTCTAAAATTGGGCTTTACAGCATACTGTCTTGATGTAATCAACAAACAACAGTGATATATAAACGTATGAAACCCCATGAAGACTTACTGTTGTCCATCCAGAAGATGATGGGAGGAGGCAGGCCTGCAGGGGGTCGGCACCGCAGGACCAGAGACACCCCCACCTGCACCATGATTGCCTCGTTCCTCTCCTTCGACCACAAGGGGGACCCTGTGTCACACAAACACACATCATACAGACAGCCGTGAGGTAGGGGCCCTGTTTAAAATGTACTGCAGGGAGGGAGGGGCCCTGTTTAAAATGTACTGCAGGGAAGGAGGGGCCCTGTTTAAACATGTACTGCAGGGAGGGAGGGGCCCTGTTTAAAATGTACTACAGGGAGGGAGGGGCCCTGTTTAAAATGTACTACAGGGAGGGAGGGGCCCTGTTTAAAATGTACTGTGGGGAGGGAGGGACCCTGTTTAAAATGTACTGCAGGGAGGGAGGGGCCCTGTTTAAAATGTACTGCAGGGAGGGAGGGGCCCTGTTTAAAATGTACTCCAGGGAGGGAGGGGTCCCTGTTTAAAATGTATTGCAGGGAGGGAGGGGCCCTGTTTAAAATGTACCGCAGGGAGGTAGGGGCCATGTTTAAAATGTACTGCAGGGAGGTAGGGGCCCTGTTTAAAATGTATTGCAGGGAGGGAGGGGCCCTGTTTAAAATGTACTGCAGGGAGGGAGGGGCCCTGTTTAAAATGTACTGCAGGGAGGTAGGGGCCATGTTTAAAATGTACTGCAGGGAGGTAGGGGCCCTGTTTAAAATGTACTGCAGGGAGGGAGGGGCCCTGTTTAAAATGTACTGCAGGGAGGGAGGGGCCCTGTTTAAAATGTACTGCAGGGAGGTAGGGGCCATGTTTAAAATGTACTGCAGGGAGGTAGGGGCCCTGTTTAAAATGTACTGCAGGGAGGGAGGGGCCCTGTTTAAAATGTACTGCAGGGAGGGAGGGGCCCTGTTTAAAATGTACTGCAGGGAGGGAGGGGCCCTGTTTAAAATGTACTGCAGGGAGGGAGGGGCCCTGTTTAAAATGTAATGCAGGGAGTTATGTCTTTAAAATATCAGAATGGTTAACTCTAATCTGTAAAGATCTGCTGATTATAATACTTGTTCAATACAGATTCATCATCCCTTCAGGGAGAGTTTACAAAGTGAAGAAGTGTTTGTTATGACTAGAATCCCAGGGTAAAATAGTTGTACTATAGTTGGCTCAGGTTAAATACAGGCTCAGGTTAAAGACAGGCTCAGGGTAAAGACAGGCTCAGGTTGAAGATAGGCTCAGGTTGAAGATAGGCTCAGGTTGAAGACAGGCTCAGGTTAAAGACAGGCTCAGGGTAAAGACAGGCTCAGGTTGAAGATAGGCTCAGGTTAAAGACAGGCTCAGGTTAAAGACAGGCTCAGGGTAATAACAGGCTCAGGTTAAAGATAGGCTCGGAATAAAGATAGGCTCAGGGTAACAACAGGCTCAGGGTAATAACAGGCTCAGGGTATAGACAGGCTCAGGGTAACAACAGGCTCAGGGTAATAACAGGCTCAGGGTATAGACAGGCTCAGGGTAAAGACAGGCTCAGGGTAAAGAGGCTCAGGTTAAAGACAGGCTCAGGGTAAAGACAGGCTCAGGGTAAAGACATGCTCAGGGTAAAGATAGGCTCAGGGTAAAGACATGCTCAGGGTAAAGACAGGCTCAGGTAACAACAGGCTCAGGGTAAAGACAGGCTCAGGGTAAAGACAGGCTCAGAGTAAAGACAGGTTCAGGGTAAAGACAGGTTCAGGGTAAAGACAGGCTCAGTGACAGTTGGAAGTAACAGTCCTTACTGGACTGTCTGATGATGATGTTGTTGGAAACAGCGGTCCCGCGCTCGTTGCGTGCGGTACACTGGTAGACCCCCTCGTAGGCCTCAGCCTTCTCCCCACTGATGTCTATGACCAGCGTCCCTGAGCTCGGCTTCATCAACACCTTAGAGTCCTTCTCCACGTCAAAATGCGTCCCATTCCGTGTCCAGGAAAAGCTGGATGAAACATAAGGGGTTAAAGTAGAGTACGGTAGAGTAGAGTAGAGTACAGTAGAAAATCTAATTGAGGTTAGACATGTATCCAGTTCATGGAATAGGGCTGAATATTGGGATTCATGTGACTCATTTAGAACCCTCCACTTGAGAGTCAGTCCTGAAGGTGGTGTATCTAATGGTTTAGAACCCTCCACTTGAGAGTCAGTACTGAAGGTGGTGTATCTAATGGTTTAGAACCCTCCACTTGAGAGTCAGTCCTGAAGGTGGTGTATCTAATGGTTTAGAACCCTCCACTTGAGAGTCAGTACTGAAGGTGGTGTATCTAATGGTTTAGAACCCTCCACTTGAGAGTCAGTACTGAAGGTGGTGTATCTAATGGTTTAGAACCCTCCACTTGAGAGTCAGTACTGAAGGTGGTGTATCTAATGGTTTACCTGTAACCTTAAAGGGTTCTTCAAAGGGTTCTCCTATGGGAACAGCCGAATAACCCTTTTTGGCTCCAGATAGCAGCTTTTATTTCTAAGAGCGTAGAGACTCTCAAGAGGGAGTTTCTACTTAACTGTAGGCAGTTAGGCTCAGTCAGGTGTTGCAGTTAAGTGTTACTAACGCGATGGACGATGGGTCTCTATGGTAATGGTCTTCAATGTGATTTATTCACACAGCATTCCACTCACCTGGGATGCGGCTTCCCTTTGGCCTCACAGTAGATGAGGATGTTCTCCCGAGGGTCGATGATGAAATCCTTAGGGGATTGGTGGGTTATAGTGGGGGGCTGTGGTACTGGAGGGAGGGGTAACGAGAGGGTTAAACAGAGGCAAATCTACACACACCTCACTCCACAATGTGCACACACACATAGCGACACAGACACACACACATACACACACACACACACACACAAACAAACACACAGACATAGTGAGAGAGAGAGAGACACACACACACTCACTCAGAGAGAGAAGCAGACGCAACACATTAGCCAGCATTAAATCAAATGGAAGGAAAAGTAAGCAGCATGCACTCAGCAGGACAAGATGCAGCAAACACTTCCTGTAACTATCAACCACAATGCTACATGTAAATCACCATTGCATCTTATTATACTTATGGACGATCATTGTATTACCATTCAATTAAAGGGTTCAAACATGAATGACAAACATGAAATAAATAAAAAATCAATAAAAAGCTTGTTTGTAAACACAGGGGGCCAAATAGCTACATGCAAATTTAGTGACGTCACTCCAATCCACACGACAGTAATATCTCCACACTCCATCACTCCACACTACATCTCACGGCAGAGACAGAGTCATGCACTGATAACTTACATCCTTCCAGAACCTTAGCTTTTTGTCCCCCATGAATGGTCATAAAATGGTGAGGAAGGTGAGGAAAGCTAAGTATTAGTCAACAGGCAGATAAAGGTAATGTGGGTAATGTTTGAGTCCAAAATGGCACCCTATTCCCTATATAGTGCACTACTTTTGACCAGGGTCTATAGGGCTCTGGTCAGAAGTAGTGCACTATAAAGGGAATAGGGTGCCATTTGGGATGCATGCAATGTGGCAAGACAATAATAGAGGATTCCTCTTCACTGTGGTTGAACTGTATCATCATCTGAGATCTGTCCCAACATGCATATCATGTCACCATGCAGTGTTGTTGAGATGCAGGTCACTGGAAGGAAGCTACTGTATCTATGGTTAATTGACTGAATGCTTCCGAACCCTGTACATACTAACTTGTAACCAGTAATGTCATGAAATCTGAAAACAAACAATTCCAGTAACAAAAAAATACAGTACCCATTCAATATTGCGGGAGTCACCATCTTAAATTCTATGAACAATCTGAACATTCTGATCTACAGTCACCATATCCTACAGTACTTACGGTCAAGAGGCACTTCTAAGGCTGTGGTCATGTGACCAAGGAATATCACCAGCAAAGCACCGCTGCTCAGCACCCATTTCCTCTTCCTGTCCATGGTCCGGCGTGTCAGGTTAAAAGGCCTCCCCCCTGGTCAGAGCTCTCCACAATCAGGACTATGTGAGGGACAAGCAGGGCATCCACCACACCAGCCAGTCAGCTGATAGAGAGAGAGAGAGAGAGAGAGAGAGAGAGAGAGAGAGAGAGAGAGAGAGAGAGAGAGAGAGAGAGAGAGAGAGAGAGAGAGAGAGAGAGAGCGAGAGAGAGAGAGAGAGAGAGAGAGAGAGAGAGAGAGAGAGAGAGAGAGAGAGAGAGAGAGAGAGAGAGAGAGAGAGAGAGAGAGAGAGAGAGAGAGAGAGAGAGAGAGAGAGAGAGAGAGAGAGAGGGAGAAGGGAGAGAGAGATGAAGTACTGTTTAGTTTAGTTCATTAGGATCTCCATTAGACACTGCACATGCAGCAGCTACTCTTCCTGGGGTCCACATAAAACGTACAAATACATGAGAAAGTATAGAACAGTTATAGACAAGGACAACTTAAGATATTACATTAATGCAAAGTGAAATCGATGTACACCATTAGATTCTCTTAACCCATCAATTCAACAGAGAACTTCAAACAACCACAAAACAGAAAACCGCCAAGACCAGCCTTACTAAGCTGCCAAAGACAACCTATGACCACTACAGTGTACAGCAGGCCTGTGTGCTCCAGTAAGGGATGGAACTGGACTGGTTGTAGTGTGTTTGGCTGTAACCACAGGCCACAGGAGTGCGCTGTTCACCGGATGTGGTACCTTGTCCCGGACCTGCTGTTTTCAACCCTCTCTCTCCCTTTCCCTCTCTCCCTCCCTCCCTCTCTCTCTCCCTCTCTATTGCAGCTGCTGTCTCGACCTATGAATGCTCGGCTATGAAAAGCCAACTGACATTTACTCCTGAGGTGCTGACCTGTTGCACCCTCTACAACCACTGTGATTATTATTTGACCCTGCTGGTCATCTATGAACGTTTGAACATCTTGAAGAACGATCTGGCCTTAATGGCCATGTACTGTTGTAATCTTCACCTGGCACAGCCAGAAGATGACTGGCCACCACTCATAGCCTGGTTCCTCTCTAGGTTTCCTCCTAGGTTCCTGCCTTTCTAGGGAGTATTTCCTAGCCACCGTGCTTCTACATCTGCATTGCTTGCTCTTTGGGGTTTTAGGCTGGGTTTCTGTATAAGCACTTTGTGACAACTGCTGATGTAAAAAAAGGCTTTATAAATACATTTGATTGATTGATTGCTTAGCCGTGACGATCACAGAACAGTCGCAGTAGGCTAGATCGCAGCACTGTCAGCCTGTCAGCCACATGGATACTTTTACACATGAATGGACGGCAACATGGACGCACTTCTGTTGTCAACAACAAAAAAGGTTAAAAGACACTGAATTGAAATAAACAGCGACTAGAAACCCCCTTTGTTTGTTTCATTAATAGTCTCTAATAAACTGCACCACAGGGAATAGGCAGGGAACACTTATCAGGCTACATTCACTGTCATCCATTCATTCTAATGGCTAATATTAACTAGTATCAACAGGCTAGCTATGGTAATGTAGGAATACAGTGGCCCATGTAGTCTATAATTCACATAGAATAAGCAGAAGAGAATGGTCTCATTCACATTGGCATTATTAACAGTGGACAGTGGGACCTGTTCAAGGCTGAGCTGTTGAGGAAGAATAGTGTAGCAACAGGGAGATGGTATTCTCTATTCAGATAACAAAGCCTGGTTGGCTGGAGGAGAGGAGAGGAGAGGAGAGGAGAGGGAGAAGGAGAAGAGAGAGGAGAGGAGAGAGAGGGAGAGAGGAGGAGAGTGAGAGGAGAGGAGAGGAGAGGAGTTTATAGAGGAGGAGAGGAGAGGAGAGGAGGAGAGGGAGGAGGAGGAGGAGAGGACCCCCCCGGGAGGGGGGAGGGGCCCCCCCCCCGCCCTGCCTTAAAAAGGACTCAGAGCTCAGGGGCATGGGGATTATGTTATGAAATTCAAACAGTAAAGGGTGGGTTAATGTCGTCCCCCTCTTAAATTGGGATTTATATAGTGGATTTTAAAATACCTCCCCTCATAGCAGGTATTTATTTAGGGTTATAATGATAATCCCCTCATAGCAGATTTTATATGTAGTGGTTTAAGATAACTCACCCTCATACAATATTTATATATGGTTTAATGAAACTCCCCACATGCAGGTATTTATAATAGTGGTTATAATGATAACTCACCATCATAGCAGGATATTTATATAGTAGTGGTTATAATGAAACTCACCATCATAGCAGATATTTATATAGTAGTGGTTATAATGATAACTCACCATCATAGCAGATATTTATATAGTAGTGGTTATAATGATAAACTCACCATCAGTTATTAGTCAGTGATATTAATAATATAAGTTGATTGTAGTGGTTATAATGATAACTCACCATCATAGCAGATATTTATATAGTAGTGGTTATAATGATAACTCACCATCATAGCAGATATTTATATAGTAGTGGTTATAATGATAACTCACCATCATAGCAGATATTTATATAGTAGTGGTTATAATGATAACTCACCATCATAGCAGATATTTATATAGTAGTGGTTATAATGATACCTCACCATCATAGCAGTATTTTATAGTAGTGGTTATAATGATAACTCACCATCATAGCAGATATTTTATATAGGTGGTTTTAATGATACCTCATCATCATAGCAGATATTTATATAGTAGTGGTTATAATGATACCTCATCATCATAGCAGATATTTATATGGTAATAATTATAACGTTACCTCAACGCATATAGAAGGTATTGGTATGGGAGTGTCCATGTTACCCCATCAGCAAAGCAGGTATTGGTATGGGAGTGTTAATAATGTTACCTCATCAGGATAGCGTCACGTCTCTCCTCTTCTTTACCATTAGCAAGTGTGTGGAATGTCATTCACCTATTAACTTCAGCCAATGAGCATGGCACACTAAGGCAATTCTACTACGCTTGCTGATTAACCTATGGGATCACTCGTGCAATAATCACTTCCCTTTTGGTCAACCAATGGGCAAAATTCTAGGGGAGCATTTATGACAACTCACCCCTTGTTTCTCACTTGATGTTTTGCATCAACAGTCTTCCAATGACCTTCCACCTCCCCACCCCCACCAGCATAATAACCTGAAGCCCCGATCTCCCAGCTGGGGGGGGGTTCCATGCCAGCTGCCCAGCATAGGGAAACCTGTCATCAGCACCTGAGCATTCCTCAGAGACGAGGCCTACCCCAAACTATTCAATAAAATCCCATATTGTATTCTGTCTCTGTCATTCAGTTAAGCCTGTACTCCATTTAAATACTATTCATGACCACACACATGCACACTGTGGTTACACACACACACACACACACACACACACACACACACACACACACCACACCACACACACAACCAACACACACACACACACACACACACAAACACACACACAAACACCCACCAGGGCTCTTACAGCACCATCTCACAGCTGAAACCTTCACACTATCAGACACCTGAGGGTTAAAGGTACAGGTCACAGGGTTTAACTCAAGTTACAGGATTTAGGCGTTACAGGTACAGGTTTAGGGTTACAGGTACAGGATACGGACACGGTTCAACACAACCTACAAGGCTTACAGTACACGGTTTTAGGTTACAGTACAGGGTTACAGACAGGCTTACAGGTACAGCATCACACAAGTTACAACGGTTACAACGTTAAGGCACAAGCGTTAACAGACACACTACAAACACGGTTAATGTTTACAGGCAACACAGGTTACACAGGGCTTACCAGGTCAGGGTTAAGGGTTCAGGTTACCAGCGTACAGGTTAGGGTTTTAGGGTTACAGGTTACAGGGTTAAGGGTTACAGGTTACAGCGTTACAGGTTACAGGTTACAGGGTTTTAGGGTTACAGGTTACAGGGTTAAGGGTTACAGGTTACAGGTTACAGGTTACAGGTTACAGCGTTACAGGTTACAGGGTTAAGGGTTACAGGTTACAGGTTACAGGTTACAGGTTACAGGGTTAGCAGGTTACAGGTTACAGGTTTACAGGGTTACAGGTTACAGGTTACAGCTTACAGGTTAAAGGTACAGGGTTTTTGGGTTACGGTTGGGGTTTGCAGGGTTACATGTTTAAGGGGTTTACGGGTTTTTGGTTGAGGGTTAAGGAAAAGGGTTGCGGGGTTAAGGTTACGGTTTTACGGGGAAAGGTACGGGTTTACAGGTACAGGTACGGTTTACAGGTTTAAAGGGTTTTAAGGGTTTAAGGTTACGGGGTTTTTAGGGTTAAGGTTCAGGGTCAGGGTTACGGTACAGGGTTAAGGTACAGGGTTACAGGTTACAGGCCTCAGCTCTGTTGGATGGGGAAAACCATCTCACTGAATTACTACTGTAGACACACATTCAGCATTCACAAACAAGCAAACCCATCTCACAGACTGGGGATAACTACACACACACACACACATGCACACGCACACACAGATTGGAGAGAACTCCACACACTCAGCATTCAGACACAGTGAAACACATCTCCACACACACTCTCAGTATTTCTAAAACAGACCACAGTATCTGTGACAGTGGGAATAATAATAGCTTTTACACAGGATGTCATATCTCACATAGAGATGCACATAGGCATGACATATCTGGTGTGATAAACATCAGCATACTGGAATGTTCATAGGTATGCCATCATTGTGATTTTGAGCAAATATACAGTAGTTCATACCGAACCAATAAAACCCTTTTTAAATGACAAAATCAGCCAATCAAATCAAATTGTATTTGTCACATACACTTGTTTAGCAGATGTTATAGCGGGTGTAGCGAAATGCTTGTGCTTCTAGCTCCGACAGTGCAGTAATATCTAACAAGTAATATCTAACAATTTCACAACATATACCCAATACACACAAATCTAGTAAGGAATGGAATTTAAGAATATCTACATATATGGACAAGCAATGACAGAACGGCATGGACTAAGATACAGTAGAATATTATAGAATAGAATACA